ATTTTGGAAAATGGTGACATGTTTTTTGATGATTTATTTTCACCAATCAATTCGCCACATGAGATGAAATTGAATACATGTCACCAATTGAAATCGACAAATGTCAATCAATTAGTTGCGGAATTCAACTTTTATATATTATATAGATAATATCAATATATAATGTTAAATTAGTAAAAAAATACATATTCTCTAGTCATGTTCATGTAAAATGTATAATATCAAATAACTTATTCTGCAATATTTTTTGTTAATAAATTCAAGTTTATGAATTAAAATTAAAGAAAAATCGTAACACCACCAATTATGCAATTATAATAAGAGAAGATTTTAAATCGAATTTAACTAAATACAAATTAAATTAGTTATAAAATTACATTAAAAAATAAATTTATTTAGGGTTTCCAAGAAAGTTGATATATTTAGAGCATCTTATAAATGGTAAGATATAAATATTAATAAAATAATTGAATATATTTAATTACCTTTAATTTTAGAAAATGATGACATGTTTTTTGATGATTTATTTACACCAATCAATTCGCCACTTAGGATGAAATTGAAGACATGTCATCAATTGAAATTGCCAAATGTCAATCAATTAGCTATGCAATTCAACTTTTATATATTATATAGATTATACAGCTCAAAATTGTCTCATATATTTTGCGTCACTATAATTTGCTTGGCCTCACATTAACTACTGTTGCTTCAGCTGACAACTATCATCTGTGTGGATCAGGATTCTGCGAGTTTCCACCTAGGCAAAGAGTTAAGCCAATATTAATTCATTAATTAAAAAAAAAAATGGATTATAAAATTGAAATAAAATCGAAACTAGAGAATTCTTTACATTATTTGTGAAATTCAGATTCCCAATAATTCATCAGGTCACAATCGAACCATCAAAATAACCAAACATTTCCAACAGTACTAGAAAGCTAAGGTTTGATTTCTCGTGGATAAGAAGAAGCATTGTATTATTATTCCACTTGCTAATTATTCATCTAATCGTGTAATTAGCTCCATCATTAGCCATGTCATTATTTCTTCTATCAAGCTCCAATTATATAAACACGTATGAGCTGTCTATAGCAACGTGCATGTGTCATGGTCCAACTCTCATCGTATTTGATTCAAATGCAATCTAAATACATTGCATTTTGTTATATTAAAAGTATTTTATACTTTCAAGCCTTACAATTGAAAATTCAATCATTTTTTATACTAGTTACGTTTCACAATAGCCGTCTTTCGTCAGATTTTATTTTTGTTCTATTATTATCTATCACTTTATAATTCTAATTTTGCATTAATTACATTTTCATATCATTATTCATTATTAACTCTCTATCACTTCGTATTTTCTACATTAATATTTATTTTCCTAAAATCAAGACATATCAATTGGGATTCTTAAAATTTGTGTGGCAGTGTGAAAAACAACACATATATAGAAACGGATGAAGTAATTAAAAATTAATCACTTTACTCGAGAGAGAGAGAGAGAGAGGGGATAAACTTGACATAAATTAATTAAAAATTGGTGATAGTCAAATTCTATTTAGCATTAATCATTAAAACATATAACCCCAGTTCATAATCATACTAAGAGCAATTATTAAGAATAATTGTGTAGTTAGTACATACTAATTCAGAACACTAATAAAAACTCTTCTTTGTCCTCTATTTCTGAAAATTAGCTATATAAACCAGTTTTCGTTGAGGCATGTCATTTAAAAAAGAAAAAGAAAATAAAATTCATTTTCATTTCCATTTCATTACTTTTCATTTTTTTTTATTTAATTTAATTTAATTTAGTATATTTTTTTCTCTTCTCCAACAAGATGAAAGGCAAAGATACAGTAGTTGATACGGATGATTCAAAAGCCCCACTTCTCCCGCTCCACGACCCGATTCATCGTTCAGAAAGCTCCGAATCATTCACCAGATCCATTTTCACGTTGAAGAACTTCTTCGTCCTGCTCGGCCCGCTACTGTGCGGCCTGATTTGCCTCTGCGTCAACCTGAATGGCGGCAAGGACACCAGCCGGAATATGCTGGCGGTGCTGGCCTGGGTGTTCACGTGGTGGCTCACGGAGGCGGTTCCGATGCCGATTACTTCCATGGCGCCGCTCTTCCTCTTCCCTCTCTTCGGAATCTCCTCCGCCGACGCCGTCGCCCACTCCTACATGGATGACGTCATCTCTCTAGTCCTCGGCAGCTTCATCCTCGCCCTCGCCGTCGAGCATTACAACATTCACCGGAGATTGGCTCTCAACGTAAGCACCGAATTAATCTTCTTCAATTTATAATTCATCTGAATAAAAAAATTTAATTCAATTGCAATTTGCAGATAACCCTGCTATTCTGCGGCGATCCGTTGAACCCACCGCTTCTCCTCCTCGGAATATGCGCCACCACGGCGTTCGTCAGCATGTGGATGCACAACGTGGCGGCGGCGGTGATGATGATGCCTGTCGCCACCGGAATTTTGCAGAGGCTGCCGGCGGCTGGACCGTCTCAGCCGGTTCTCGTATCCAAGTTCTGCAAAGCGGGGTCCTCGGGGTTATTTACTCTGCGGCGGTAGGAGGGATGAGCACACTGACCGGGACAGGTGTCAACCTCATATTGGTCGGGATGTGGAAGAGTTATTTTCCCGAAGCCCGGCCCATCAGCTTCAACACGTGGCTCTTCTTCGGTTTTCCTCTTGCATTGTGTATTTTCATCGCTCTGTGGGCCATACTTTGCTTGCTGTACTGCAGAAAGGGGTCCACTCAAGCCCTATCTGCTTATATGGACAAAGCCCATTTGAAGAGGGAGCTTGATTTGTTAGGTAGGGCCCACAAAAAGCCCCACTTCTTTCTCTCTCTAATTATTCTCCACTAATTACATATTATAAAATTGACTTTAATTATTTGCATTATATAATAATACTTATTTACCAAAATGGTTTAATAATTATTGAGTATAATTACAGGTCCAATGGCTTTTGCTGAAAAGATGGTACTTGCTATATTTTCGGTGGGTCAATTATAACAGCTTTAATAAAATTGATTGCTCAATTAATTAATTAATATTAATTTTAGCTTAATTATATATTAATTTGATTTGCAAATACAGATGTTAATTGTGTTGTGGATGACGAGGAATCTAACAGATGAGATTCCTGGTTGGGGATCTCTGTTCAACGACCGTGCTGGTGATGGAACTGCTAGTGTAAGTATTTTTATATATATATTTAAAAATATTAACCATTATATTTAATATTACACATATAGTTAAACATTTATAAATTAAAAGTATAAATTTTTTATTAATTTAGCGAATTATTAAATTATCGATTTATCAATTTAAGATGTTCTCACTGAATCGGGACGGAGAGAAACTAAACTATTATTTAAGCGAGATTTTTAATTTATCGAGGTTCTACAGTATTTAATTAATAAAATGAATCTCGTGCTAATTAGGTTATGATGGCAACATTGTTATTCATAATCCCTAACAAGAAGCAAAGAGGGGAGAAGCTAATGGATTGGAACAAATGCAAGAAGCTCCCGTGGAACATCGTGCTCCTGTTAGGCGCCGGATTCGCCATCGCCGACGGCGTCCGCACGAGCGGACTGGCCGACGTGCTGTCGGAGATGCTGGAGTTTTTGGAGAAGGCGCCGTACTGGGCAATCGCCCCCGCCGTGTGCCTCGTAGGCGGCACCATAACGGAGTTCACTTCCAACAACGCCACCACCACATTGTTGATCCCGCTTCTGATCCAAATCGCGCAGAACATGCATCTCCATCCGCTCCTGCTTGTAATCCCCGGCGCCATCGGATCTCAGTTCGCTTTTCTTTTGCCGACGGGGACTCCGTCGAATATTGTTGGATTCACGACGGGGCATATTGAAATTAACGATATGTTGATCACCGGGGCTCCGCTCAAAATTGCCGGAATTTTGGTGCTATCAATTCTAATGCCCACACTTGGTAACTTTTTATTTATTTATTTAAATTGTTTTTATTTATTTAAATTTGTGTTTTGATATTTATATTAATTAAAATTTCTTGATCTTGTAGGAGCATTTGTGTTTAGAACGGATGAGCCACTACTCAATTTCGGTGGTTAATAAGAACTAGTGAAGGAGCCCAACCTTGTTTCATTTTGTAATATAATATTCAAGTGCATATAATATTATAATTTTATTTTATCTTATTGTTTCAAACAAGTCATTCAATTATAATATTATTCCATAAATAATAGATTATAATATCTAACTAAATGACCAATAAAAAAATTATAAAAATATTATTAGCTTCTTGGGGTTTTAACTTTTAACCTTCTATTTTTAAGAGAGAATTTCTATTCAGATTACAGAATTCAAATTCGTAGCATACATAAATTCACACAATCTAATGATTTCATCTATTCAAATTGCGTAAATTATTGATTGCAGATTACTTCGTTACCCCACAAAACCACTATAAATATAGGTAAAGAAAAACCATTAACACACTAAAAAGCATCACACATACTTCCTCAAATATTATCTCTCTTTAAAATGGCTCTCAAATCTGTCTCTTTCATCATGATTGCTTCCTTCTTATTGGCCTCCTCCCTTTTCGGTGTCTCCACCGCCTTTGGCGGCCGGAAAGCCATGGCCCCAGGCGGCGGCGGCGAAGTGACGGCTAACCCACCGGATTTCGGTATCAATTTGGGGTTTTTACCAATAAACCCCGAGGATCCCAAAGTGGTGGCGATCGCAAAGTTCGCCATCGAAGAGAACAACAAAGAGCACAACGCGAATCTGGTTTACACCACCGTGTACGAGGCGCTCTACGCTGAGGATGCTCAGGGGACGAGAAAGTACGCCCTTGTTGTGGCGGCGACCGACGACAAAGTGTTGAATGACTACAGCGTTAGTGTCGTCGTTGCGAAAGGCTCCCAGAAGGTTGTCGCCTTCCAAGAAAACAAATGATGCGTTAAAGTTTGATAATTTAATTTTAGGTGATGTTACAAAGTGAAGGGAATGTAATAAGAAATGTTTGAAGAATAATTTATCTAATTAATATTGGGATCCACATCTTTGTGTCAATTTTTTTTTAATGAAAAGTTCGATTTAAGGTAATCGAATTAGACTCGACTAGAACGGAAATAATAAGCTAGATATAAAACGCAAGATGCCCGAATTGCTCTTCGATATGCTTGATAATCGAATTAAGCTTAAACACATATTTTTTAAATTGGAATAAAAATTCAAACAAGTTTAAATATTCGTATGTTTGGCTTGACTATAGAATCGTATATATTTCTACAATACAATTCTGGATGCGTTTGGACTGAAGGATTTGAAATTACTCTAAATGAGTGATTTGAATCGGACATCAATCCGAAAAGAAAGAACTAAAAACGAGAGTAGTTATGATCATATATATTTCAATGTCAAATAAATCAATTCAAACAAATTCGTCGAATTTGTTATGAGTACATTCGAAATCCTTTTCTCGAATCCTCCCATCCAAATTACGAATCAAATCTTAATAATTAACTTATTTTTTCGAATATAATTAATAGGATTAGGCGAGGATTTGTATCTCATCTCATGTAGTTATACAATTAACATGAGATTATCAGTAAATTCAAAACCTCATCCTTTGCATTAAATTGTTGTATCAAATTACGGAAATGGCAAATTGTTATATTAAAGCTTTAAGAACACACTGAATATATAGATCTTAATAAGATATAATTAATTAAATATGGCACTGAAAACAGACCCTCTACATTTCATATTGTTAATCATATTATTATCGGTGACTCGGTCCATAGACTCGGCCACCACCGCCGGTGAAAAACTGCTCCATCTCGGTGGGACATCGCAGCCAATCATTGCGCCGGAAGAAGACCGGAAGGTGGTGGAAATAGCCGATTTTGCGGTGGATAAACACAATCAATTGGCTAAAACGAACTTGAAATTATCGAATGTGATAAACGGGACAATGACGGTTCTTGGTGGCACTTATTACGAACTTGCAATATCTGCTGTCGATCGTCGTAAGGCAAATGCTGCACAAAATTATGCTACTCTTGTTTATGAGAAGCCATGGCAACATTTGAAGATACTTGTTAGCTTCAAAGAGATTCCAATTTCAGTGTAGTGTGTAATTGGTCTTTATTAATTATTTTGGTGGAAAAAAAAAATACAACCTTGGAAAGTGCATTTATATTTTATAACATAAATCCTAAAACACTTTTTTTAATCTTTGAAATCTTTTTTTGTTCTTTTTGGTAAATTTGTTTCTTAAAACAAAAATGATTTGTTCCAAATATACATAGTAACAATAATCATTTAACATGCTGCATATATCAATAACCTAATTAATTAATGGGAAACAAATATTTAACATTATTAAAATAAGGGTTTTTGGCACTTTGTACCCTTAAATTGCAAAAATTGGCAGATTGCACTCTTTAAACATAAATTATTTGGCACTTCTTTGCACCCCAAATCACATTTGGCTTAGAAAACTTACCTGCAACTTGCTGGAAACCTGGAAGAAATGCAAATTCATAATTTTCTTATTATCTATCATCTTCCCTCAATTCTTAATCACCGTTCCACCATTTTTATCTTTCGTCCCTTCAATTGAAAATCCTAAAATCTCTTTAGCCATTTCTTTCTATGGTAAAATCGGTATAAACACTAAACAATAATAGTAAATCACTTTTTTTTTCTTTTGAGTATGAAAATAATGTAACTGGAAATGTTAGGCCGAACCCTCAATTTTGTTTTGAATAGTCAAATGACAAAATAAGGCTACTGAGAAGTTTATTTGGTGGTAGAAATGTGGTGCCTATTAGTTTCATGATGGGAAGATTTTTGTGTTCCCATTGAATAGTTTGGATCTGCAAAATTATTTAAAAAAAAAATTGAGCTACCATGGAATAAAACTTGATTTTCTGAAGGTGTGTTATCGAACTCTTGTCTATATATTCCGACCATTCTTGAGTTTTAGTTCAGAATTTACATATTATGGCAAATAGAAACGGCTAAGAAGAATTTAGGATTTTTTGATTAATATGACGAAATATAAAAATGGTGGAACGATGATTAAAAATTGGGGGAAGAGGATAGATAATTAGAGAATTGCGAATTTGCCCATCTTTCAGATTTTCAACAAGTTGCAGGTAATTTTTCTAAGCCAAAAGTGATTTGGAGTGCAAAGTGCCAACCAATTTATGTTTAAAGGGTGCAATCTGCCAATTTCGCAATTTAAGGGTGCAAAGTGCCAAAATGTTGTAATTCAAGGGTGCAAAGTGCCAAAAACCCTTAAAATAATATTACCACAATGTACGATATTGCAATACGATGCGATATTTACGATATCTGTTTTGAGGGTGATTTGTCAATGGTCATCACATTTAAGGGTGCTTTGTGTGATATTCATCATATTTGGGTGGATTTTTGTGATTTTCAGCACATTTGGACTATTTGTGCAATTTTCAGCACATGATATTTTATTTCATAGTAACAACAATCACTGCTGAATCATATATACTAAAAAAAGAAAAAAGAAAATAAAAAAGTAAATAAATCAAAATCCAATTTTAAAAAATATTGTGAATAGATAGTAACAACAATGATTTAGGTTACCATTTAGGTGAAGAACCGAATTAAATGACAAATAAATGTTTTACAGCGCACACACTACACAGAGCCCAACCCTCTATAAATACCACGGGTCGGCCACCACAATATACACACACCCACTCACACACACACACACACACAAAAATAAAAAATAAAAATAAAAAAAATGGCACCCAAATATCTGTCTGTTATCTTCGCACTGGCCTCGATTCTGGTGATTGAAGCCTCTACCATAGGCGGCAAAGCCACCACGCTCGGCGGCTGGAAGCCGATCCCCAATCTCAAAGATCCGCAGGTGTTGAAAGCCGCTAATTTCGCGGTGGCGGAGCACAACAAGGAGGCTAAAACAACCTTGGAATTCGTTACCATCGTCAAGGGGGAGCAGCAAGTGGTTGCTGGTTTGAGATACCGCCTCGTCATCTCCGCCAAGTCCTCCGCCGCCGCCGCCGCACCAACAAGCTATAACGCGGAAGTTTTGTCCCAGCCCTGGAAGAAGCTTCTGAAACTGATTTCTTTCCGAGAAACTAGAGTCTAAATGTACTGATTTGCAATTTTTTATCTTTTTTGAGAAAATAAGTTCTACATAATTGCAAATTCGGTTTTCAATTGGATTGTATTTGTAATTCAAAGACTTCATCAATTTTGAATGATTTGGTGGGCCCAATATCTAATTTTGTTGAAATTTAAGGCCCGACTTTGTTCTATTAGCCTAAAATTAGTTTGTCTTTGGATGGATTAATTTTTATATTAATTTTTTAAATGCTTAAATTTAGTCGTTTGTGTATGTGTTTTTTTTTGTAAATTTATTTCTTCAAAACCAAATTATTTAATCCAAATCTGCCAGAAGAGGGTAACAATAATCATTAATCATTGTTTGACCTGTGCCGATTTATAGCATGTTATATTGGGTGATATATTTCGAATAGATCTTTACAATTTATATACACACAAATGCATACACTACATTGGTATACATGTAACCTTCAGCGTGTATAAAATAGAAATAGAAAATAACCGACTAGTGTCCTTAACCGATTTTGTCAAAAGATGGAACAAGAATCATTTGAAGTTTTGGTCCTTAAATCAACAATCCAATTAATTAACGGCAAATATTTAACACTAACTCTATAAATCGGAGCGTCCCACCACACAAATTATCAAACACAACCATTTCACATAAGAAAACAAATCAAACATGGCACTCAAATCTCGCTCTGTTCTCTTTCTTCTCCTCTCAATTATGGTGGTTTCGAGTATCAACGAAGCGGGCGCCACTTTCTTCGGAATTTGGCTGCCGATCGCTAACCTGAAAACCCCGGAGGTGGTGCAGATTGCCAAATTTGCAGTGGCGGAGCACAACAAAGAGGCTAAAACATCGTTGCAATTCGTTACCGTCGTAAGAGGTGAAACCAAACTGGCTGTCGGGAAGAACTACCGGCTGGTGATCACCGTCAAGGGTAGCGGCTCCGCCCAACCCAAAAACTATACCGCAGTTGTTTGGTCCAGGCCCTTGATAAAGTACCAGCAACTTCTTACGTTTAATGAAGTTAAAGTTTAAAAGTACATTATGAAGCAATGTTTGTGCATTTTTTTTGTTTTTTGTTTTATCTAATAATGCTTTATCTGTGTGTAAAGCAGAATAAACGTGGACATATATATGTATATGTGTGTGTGTGGATAGGTAGATAGATAGGTAATTGTATTATTATTTTTTTGGTTATGGTTCTCTTTGAATAATCAATTAAAAATTCCTTGTAATTAACTAATTATACAGGAAAGGTTCCATTCACATTTTGTTACTTTATTTACCAGATGGTAATTAAATTTATTAGATTAATGTTTGAAGATCAAATCACCAGTCTTTGGAACAATCTCACTTCTCACCTTAAAATAAAATATATAAAAAATCAAATTATCATGCTACAAATGAAAAGGTAGGAAAATGCATGATTCAAAAATATCAAATTCCTACGGAGTATTCCTATAAATACCAAATTGGATGACATATAATCATAAACTAAATAAAGATCGAACAACTTTTGATTGTAGATTTATTCAGTGGAGCGATACAATTTAAAAATGAAGTCAAGAACTTGAGGGCCCATTTAATAACATAATCTGAAAATGAAAATAAAAAATATGCATTGATTTATGTTGATTTACAGTTATTGGCCCAATAGTAAAATAATTACTGGGCTTTTTTGAGACCCTTGTATCCAAAATGTGTAAACGAGAAAATAAAAAATAAAATAAAATTATTTATAAATTAATATGCCTCGAAGTTATGGCGGGGCAGTAACTATAATTTTTTTTTTATTTTTTTTTTTATGCAAAGGTAGAAAATGATCCATTTTTATATTTTCTTGAAGCTGTTCCCCAATTTACTATATATCTATTGGATTTTACGTTCTAGTTTTATTGTAATTATTGAATATTCATTTGTTTATTATCAATTTTCGTGTTTATGATAATTAGGGTAGAGAGGTTTTGTGGATGAGAATCCGAAGGGCTTTCTGAGTAATATATACTAGCATTTTTTCCCCGTGCGATGCACGGGATCGTATTTTAAAAGTAAAAGAAAAAAAATTTAACAAATCAAATTTCTATCTTTTTGTCTTAAGATTTTAGAGATATTGATGAAAAATAGGAGATTGAAGTCGGAAGGATTCATCACGATTTAGTGTCAATTTTGATAATTATATTGTATAAAATATAGTTAGAAAATTAGTAAAAAAAATATTAAAAATAAATAATTACAGAAATGCCATTAGGGTTTCTTAGGGTTGCCCAACGTTTCTTTCTTTTATAATCTTTATTTCTTAAGATTTCACAGATATTGATGAAAAACAGGAGATTGAAGCAGGAATGATTCTTCACGATTTAGTGTCAATTTTGATAATTGTAGAAAATATAGTTAGAAAATTAGTAAAAAAAAAATATTAAAAATAAATAATTACAGAAATATCATTAGGGTTTCTTAGGGTTGCCTAACGTTTCTTTCTTATATATATATATATATATATATATATATATATATATACCGTATATATATCGAATAAGATCTTTACTATGGCATTTAATACAAACGCACGCATCCACATTAATGTGTGTAAATCAACGGTAAAAATTCACGCATAATGTAAGTTTCAGCGTGTGTATCATAAAAATAAACTACTAGTGTCCTTATATTTTATCTGCCGAAATTCAATTTATTTTTCAAAAAATATAGGAACGAGAATCATTTAAACTTGGTCCTTAAATCAACAATCTAATTAATTAACGGCAAATATTTAACACTAACAAAAGTGCAATAACCTCTATAAATAGGACGGCACACCACAAAAATTATCAAACACAACCATTTCACGTACAGAAGAAAACAAATTAAACATGGCACCCAAATCTCGTTCTATTCTCTTTCTTCTCCTCTCAATTTTGCTGGTTTCGAGTATCAACGAAGCGGGCGCCACTTTCTTCGGAATTTGGCGGCCGATCAATGACCTGAAAGACCAAGTGGTGGAGCAGATTGCCAAATTTGCGGTGACAGAGCACAACAAAGAGGCTAAAACATCCTTGGAGTTCATTACCGTCGTACAAGGTGAAACCAAATTGGTTTCCGGGACGAACTACCGGCTGGTGATCTCCGCCAAGGACCGCGGCGCCGCCCAACCTAAAAACTACACTGCAGTTGTTTGGTCCAGACCTTGGATCAAGTTCCAACAACTTCTTACATTTGATGAAGTTAAAGTGTAAAAGTACATGAAGGCGCAATGTTTGTACCCTTTATTTTTGCCCTATCTGCATGTAAAGCAGAATAAATGCGGACAATTTATATATATATATATATATATATTGGTAATTGTATTCTTTTATTGTTATATTTCTCTTGGAATGATCAATTAAATTCCTTTTAATTAAACAGAAAAGGTTCCATTCACATTTTTTACTTTATTTTCCAGATGGTAATTCGATTTATTAGATTTGTGTTTGAAGATCAAATAACCAGCCTTTGGAACCCAAGAAAATAAAAATAAACTCATGCTACAAATTAAATGAAAATGTAAGAAAATGGCATGATTCAAAATACCAAATTCCTAGGGAATATTCCTATAAATACCAAATTGGATGAAATATCATTAAAACTAAATAAAGATTGGACAACTTTAGAGGAATTAAATAAATATGGATATTATTGTTCGAGATATGTTCTTTATTTATAAAATAATAATAATAACAATAATAATAAAGACAGATATTGAGTGAGAGGAAAAGGATGAGGTTTATAAGTATTAAATAAAGGAACAAGAAAACATGTGAATTTAAAGGTGGGAAAAAGGTCCCAATTAACATGCACTTCATGTAAAAAGATCCAAAAAGTTGTTGCTTCATCCATTTAATTAAACAACCAATAAAGCAGTATAATTGTCTCTCAATCGATGATCTAGCGATTGGAGTAAGTGAATTAGTGTAAATTGACGTAAGTTCGAATTCACTTGTCAACGGTCGCTACGTTGAGTGTGTCACACATGGTTAGGTTAATGTAATTTACGTCTTTCGTATGGTTTGCAAGCTATTATACGAGAGTGTAAGTTTCTCGTATTATGTACAACTCAATGCACTAATAGTGCAGTTTACGTTTTCCGTATAATTCGAAGCTCTTATATGAAAATGTAGTTGATGGACTACTTAGGGGCCCATTTAATAACATAATCTTCAAATGAAAATAAAAATATACTTTGGTTTACAGTTATTGGCCCAACAGTAAAATAATTTACTGGGCTTTTTTGATACCCGTTTATCTAAAATGTGTAAACGAGAACAATAAAATATAAAAATGAATTTATTCATAAATTAATATGCATCGAAGAAATGGCAGGGGCAATAAACTATAGATTTATTTAATTCTTTATTGAAAAGTAGAAAATGATACATTTTTATATTTTGTTGAAGCTGTCCCCCAATTTAGTAGTTAGTTGTTTACTATATCTTTCTTGGATTTTACGTTCTGGTTTTATTGTAATTTTCGTCCATAATTTGAAATTAATAGAATAATGTATTTAATTAATAATTTAAATATTGTAACTGGTGAAAAAAAAAAAGAATAAATTTGCAAAAAGATGAAGTGATAACCACACACAAAGTTCCAATCGGATCAGGTGAGTCAAATCGGATCGGATCAACCTGAACTGAACAGCTCAACACATATATAAATAACAATTCAAAACCCCCAAACAATCCTTCCCCCAATTTTTTCTGGTAAAACGTATATACCCTAAGTATCAGGTTACTGAATCAGAAAACCCCCAAAATTTGAGAATTGACAGAATCAAATTTGACTCGGCAAACACCTGGGGAACAAACAATTATCCAAAATAGGAGGGTGCTTCTCGACCGGCCACCGGCCGGCGTCACGGCCGGCGACACGGTCGGCGCCGGCGGCTCTACGTGCTCCGTCGGTGCAACGGCAGGCCTCGTCGCAGGCCGCCATGCTCCGGAGGCTCTCGCTGCCCGAGATTAACGATGGAGGTGGTGTTGATAACGCCAAAATGAAGGGTTTGTTCAAATCCAAGCCCAAAACTCCCGTTGATTTGGTGCGGCAGACGCGGGAGCTACTCATTTTCCTCGATCTCGGTGGACCCGACACTAAGGAGAGCAAACGCGATGAAAAGGTCATTTGCTTACCTTTTCAATTTTTTTTTTTTTTTTTGTTTTCCCGATCTCGCTGTGGTGGTAGTTGACATTTGATCGAACGTGGATGAAAGGCGAATTGTCACTGATTCATGTTTTGGTGCACGGGGGATTATATATAGTACATATCAATTTGCTGTTCTGTTTAAATTATTATCTTCCATGGATATATTCTTACGAGCATGTGGTTTCAGCTTTAGTCGAGTTGTTTATTTCAATTTTCGTGTTTATGATAATTAGGGTAAAGAGGTTTCGTGGATGAGAATCTGAAGGGCTTTAACTATTGCTTCATAACTGTCGTATATGTGATGACTATCGTGTTTGCTTCATTTTGTTGCATCAATTGGGTTGTTCGAACAATAGTTTTTAATAATTTAATTTCCTGCTGCTTATGTTTTCGTGTTTTGCTATTTATAGATGACGGAGTTGAGCAAACTGATCAGAGACATGAAACAAGTTCTTTATGGGGACAGTGAATCTGAGCCCGTCGCGGAAGCATGTTCACAGTTGACAAATGAGTTTTTCAGAGAGAACACTCTGCGTCTGCTAATTATATACCTTCCCAAGTTGAACTTAGAGGTAACTTTTAGTCATAATTTAATTGAAGTGCCACAAGTTACCAGAATTCTGCTATGTTGCATGTAGCTTAACTTTTGAATTGAATGTCGAGTATGGTGCTTAAAGTACATGCTTGAAATATTGGTTTTGAATGTTCTGTAACTTCTTGGGGTTTACAGCTAGTTCTTTACCATGATAATTGGTGTTGACTAATTAGAAAAACAATTGCAGACCCGCAAAGATGCTACGCAGATTATTGCAAATTTGCAGAGGCAACAGGTCCAATCAAAGCTGATTGCTTGTGATTACTTGGAACAGAACATAGATCTCATGGATATCTTGATAACAGGGTAAGGTAGCATGAAGGACTTTACACTATATTGTTAAATGAATTATTCCTCGAAAACTGTGATAGGTGAATTATAAGTTGGACTTCATATATCCATACACGAAGATGTATAAATTTGAAGAAATGATGTGTCATGTTCTCATATAGTTTTTAGTTTTTGTACTTAGTTGTAATTACCGGGTGGTAGAGCAAGGAATTTGTCTTTGCGGAGGGGCAAATAAAATAATTTCCTTTTAATGCAAGTTTTTAAAACTTCTTTCAACCTAATGGATAATGTATTGTACGCATGCTATGTATGGTTTTAGAAACTAGACAATTGTGTATGCCACATTGTGTTATCTTTCTTGAACAATAAACTTGTATTATTTTTTTCTCAATTGTTCACCTTGTTGGGACAGCTGGGGGAGAGAGGTGTTGTTTTATATTTATTCTGCTACTTTTAAAAAAAATATTTTCTTTTGCAATTTACTGACTTTGATTTGCTTTGCTGTTGGGCAACTAGTTACGAGAATAGTGATCTGGCATTACACTACGGTGCAATGTTGAGGGATTGCATACGCCACCAAACTGTTGCAAAGTGAGTGAATGATTTAATTTTTGCTCAATTTTTAATTATCATATTTTTTTTTCTAATAGAATTGTACATGACGTCTCTTATCAAGTTTTGAGGCCTTATCAAGTCAGTCAATGCATTACATTCCACAAAAGTTTATAATTTCCTTTCATGTCGGGAAGTAATATATCATTTTTTAGCTGATTCTTCATGTTAGATGTCATCAGGAAGTAGATGAACTATTCTTAAAATAATCTTCCTACATTGGTAGATGTATAATGGGTTGTATTTTGAAATTGTAGTATTTCAAATGTGTCATTTAGTCGGTGTAACAGGATTTTGGTTTCTGGTTAGTGCAAAATCTGAGTTTTATGGTGAATCATTGTGATTTATTAAAATTTATTTAATAGTTCTAGAATCTGATGTGGTCTGTAGGTACGTTTTGGAATCAGAACACATGAAGAAGTTTTTTGATTACATACAACTTCCAAATTTTGACATTGCTTCTGATGCTGCTGCCACTTTCAAGGTTGAGTATTTATTTGAAGTAGAAACTTATGTAATCTATTACAACTTTCTCTCATCTTGTTGGCTAATCTTCTCTATGGTACAATATCAATGCGTTATTAGAAGAATCTTTAGTTGATTTTCTTCTTGGCGTTCTTTTGTAAGCGAGTATTCAAATGCATGTTGAACCCCCTAAGATGATGGATTTCCAGCATTGCTTCTGTAGTTCTGCGGATCCAAATTTCAGCCTTTTTGAAGGACACATGTTTGTCATTTCAAACTGGAAATAGAAGAAGTTGTTCAGGAATCCACCTATTAACCTTGTATATTGGGATAAACGGAAAAAAAAATAATCCTTCTAGGTAGGGAAGATAGAGAAATTTGTTTTAGGAATCTCCTTAGGCATTCTTCTTGGGATAGTTAGCTAATTTTTGGTATGCCTCATCTCCTGGTATCGTTGAAAGAATCGATATTTGGCATTGAACTTCTTTGTTTCCTGTTGCTTATTCATATATTATATTGACATCTGAAAATGCATTGTAGTGTGGTACCTTGAGCATATACTTTTGCGTTTAGGTACCTGTGATATAGCTCAGCGTATTTAGCATGGACTGAAAATAGTGATTTTGCGCTCTTTATCTATTTTCACTACATTACAGTATGTGTCCAGGCACTGAACTATCGCTAACAGGATCCATGTCTTGTTGCAGGAACTATTGACTAGGCACAAGTCAACGGTAGCTCAGTTTCTTTCCGATAATTATGAATGGGTAAGTGATTTTTGCTTTCATAGCCTCTAACCGTTCATAGTCTTCTCCAATCACTCTATATTCTTCAGTGATTTTCGTGGACCTCTCTTTTCCCCATGGTTTATGTAGGCTCGAATATTATACTCTTTTGTGCTTCGTGGAACTCTACGTATCTAATCTATTCTTTTGAATATTGCACTGGAAATAAATAATTTTGTTTATTTGGTTCCTGGATGAGCTCGCTCCCCTTTCTATTTCTGATTCCATTGAGACCTGTTCATTTACAGTTCTTTGAAGAGTATAACTCAAAATTGCTTGAATCTACAAACTACATCACCAGAAGGCAGGCTATCAAGGTAATGGATACTCCATTTTCTCTTTTTAGGTATATGAGGACTGCTCACATGGTGAACCAAACCCCTTCCCCTAATAGAAAAATGTGAAAAGAACAAACAATAATGGGAAGAATTTAAGGATTTATATCCTTCGATAAATGTCTTTTATCTTTTCTGTATAGTTGTTTTTGTGAGGCTGACAGTGCATTCTGATTTTGTGATGCACCTTCTTTCAGCTGTTGGGTGATATGTTGCTGGATCGCTCAAATTCAGCTGTAATGAGTCGATATATTAGCTCTCGGGACAACTTGAGGATCCTCATGAATCTTCTTAGAGTATGGCTACCTTCTTGTCTGTTAGATTCAATCCTCATTTCGGAGAAGTGTGGGAAAATAAATCAGAGATTAAAAAAGTAGAACTGAAACTCAAGAAACTAAAGCACGAATCAGTCTACTCAGAATGGGTTACTGGAAGTGAACCCTACGGATATCTGAATGGGATTACCATATTCGAAACTCTAATAAAAAAAATTAAACAGAAAATGCAACTCAGGATTTTATGATTGTCTTACTGGAAAGAAAACAAGAACATGGTTTTATATAGGTAGTTGTTATGTCATGTATCTAAGTCTTGGAGTTTTGCCTTGTGCCAGGAGTCGAGCAAGAGCATTCAACTTGAAGCATTTCATGTGTTTAAGGTACTATTTTATCTTCCAGCTTGAGCTTTTGTCGCATAGGTGAATGGTTTCTGCTCACTTCATAATTTCTTTTTTTCTGATCCGACTCGAAAATGTGCAGTTATTTGCAGCTAATCAGAATAAACCCTCTGATATTGTTGGTATACTTCTCGCGAATAGAAGCAAGCTGCTCCGCCTCTTTGCTGATTTTAAGACAGAGAAAGGTAAGTATGAACAAATGTAGGCATATGCATACGCATATATTCGTTTAAATGCTCATATCTGCATCGATAGTATGTCTTGATTCTTGGTTCCTTTTATTGCAGAGGATGAAGCGTTCGAGGCTGATAAAGCCCAAGTCGTTAAAGAAATTGCTGCACTTTAGCCCAAAGAACGAAAAAAAAACGGCCTTTTAATTCAGTTCTGATTTAGTTTTATCAGCTGTTTATACGAGTCTGTCCATATATAAAGAAATATTTTGATGATCGATACTTCTTAGGCCCGATATTTGTGAACTCTAGTGACGGAAAGAAAGCCTTGGAAAGTTGTCATCTCCGTTTCATCTTTAGAATAACCGTTATTCTTGCAGATGCTGTTTGTTAAACATCTGGTACACATTATTTCAGAACAAGAAAAAGGTGAATAATTATGGAATTTGGCCATTTATTCATGTTTTGCCGTTGCCGTTATTTATCTGTTAAAAAAGGCGCTCTAATTTCTCTTGTATCATGTTTGAAGATGCTTGTAAATGAATATATTGGAATAAACTAACAGCATATTGGCATATTCCGTTTATCAACGATTTTGACAGGGTATTGATTTTTCTATATTTTTTTTAATAATAACCAGATAATCTTAATTTTGCCTGGAATAAAGACGTACTCAATTCTTTTAAATACTATATATTATACTGTACAGAAATGAATTATGTAAGGAATCCAGGGACATTTATGTAAAATCCAGAGGTATTAATTTACCAAATGTTTTTCCTATAAATAATTGGCATCCATCTATTTTATATTATCACAGTTGATTTGTTACGTATAACGAAAAAACCTCTCAGCCATCAACTTCTCTTCCCATCACCCAATCTTCATTTTTCAATCAAGAAACAGAAGATGGCAGAAAAAGGCAAGACCCCACAATTCATAAACCTTTTTCACTCTTGCACTTCACACACTGGCACACAAATTAAAGTGCAAATTGTACACGTGGAGCTCTGTAGTTTGTTGATGGGTTTTCTTCAATTTCAGGTTCAGTTGAGGATTTCTTGGCCATGGCGGTTGATGCTGCCAAGAAAGCTGGAGAGGTGCCATTCTCTTTTTTATCCCAATTTTTGTCCACATACTTCATATAATTTTTTTATTTGCATTGATCTAATTATTTCACAATTTATTGGGTTATTGCAGATAATTCGTTCTGGGTTCTACGAGATAAAGCGCGTGGAGCATAAAGGCCAGGTAAAAAGATAATCTTGGCATCGAGATAAAAATGAAATCTTTAAGTGCTGAAATTGCTGATGGGGCTCTTTAATTTCATTGCTTTACATTTTCAATTTTCAATTTTCAAACATTTACATTAAATAATTTCTGGTGGTTCTTTTGATTGCTTCGAGTTATTTACGATATAAGCCGATCATCCGTTTTTCGTTCTCGTTTGAAGGTGGATTTGGTCACAGAGACTGATAAAGCATGTGAAGAACTTATATTCAATTTTCTCAAGCTACACTACCCTGACCACAAGGTTTAACTCTGTAGTTTTCGATTATGCTTTTTTTTTTTCGATTAATTTGTGAGATTTTTCCTGAATATTTTCCGAGCTGAATGTCAGTTCATAGGGGAAGAAACCACTGCTGCTTTTGGTGCCACAGAATTGACCGACGAACCAACTTGGATCGTTGATCCTTTGGATGGAACAACTAACTTCGTGCACGGGCAAGTATCACACACAAACATATATATGTGGAAAAAAAAATATTTTGTATCCAATTGTGCTTAGAGTTATGGGATGTGATCAATTGTAGGTTTCCATTTGTATGTGTATCTATCGGACTTACAATCGGAAAAGTTCCGACGGTTGGAGTTGTCTACAATCCAATTATGGATGAGGTAGACTTCTTCGACTTCTCGAATTTTTTTATATACGAAAAATATAAAAGTCGAGCAAATATCTTCTCTTTCAATGTGCAGCTTTTTACCGCTGTTCGTGGAAAAGGTGCTTTCCTCAATGGGAAACCTATCAAAGGTTTAATTTTTTATCTTCATTTATATATTATTTTTTTACTGCACATTGCGTAAGGTTCGTCGAAATCTCACGGCAACTATATTTGTTGAATATACGCAGCATCTTCTCAAGATGAGCTTATGACGTCCCTTCTTGCTACAGAGGTAATCTCTAAACGTATTTCCGAAAATTAAATCAAAAAAAAAAAAAAAAAAAATCAAACTTTTCTTGAGTATATTTGAAAAATCGCAGGTTGGCACAAAGCGCGACAAGTCTACTTTGGATGCGTCTACAAATAGGATCAATAACTTACTCTCAAGGTAACTTAGTGTTCGTCTAGTGAAGACAATTTTAATTTCTGTATTTTTTTTATTTTATTAATATTTTTTTCACGGGAAATATATCTTAGAGTAGGGTTTGTGAATTGATCAGGTTCGGTCCCTTCGAATGAGCGGCTCTTGTGCGTTGAATCTATGCGGTGTTGCATGTGGAAGGCTCGATTTGTTCTATGAAGTTGGTTTCGGAGGCCCCTGGTAATAATATTAATTAAATATTTGATTCGGGCTTATGATCTCAATTTCCCATATATGAATCAAGAGTTGCTTTATCTGTTCAGGGATATTGCAGCTGGAGCTTTAATTGTAACCGAAGCTGGCGGACTTGTTTTCGATCCGTAAGTAACTTATTCGAGCTACCGTTAAAAATTATGCCAATAAATGCAAAATTCAAAATCATACACCGATTTCATTTGTCTGTCGTTGATTTTTTTTTTTAATTCCCCCCCCATCTTAATAGATCTGGTCCGCTTTTTCTATATCATCGCCCAGAGACTCCCCAGCTTCGAATTCTTTCCTCAAGGATGCGTTTGTCGAGGCGTTGCGAGAATCGGAATAGAGAAATTTCTAAAAAATCAGTTAAGTTTCTATATATAAATCCATAATTAAACATGACTTTTGATGTTATGAAATTTCTCAATTTGGTTTAATACATATATATACTGGATGATTTTGTTTAATATTTGATTTATTTATTATTATTGTTTTTTATTAAAATGGCATTAATGATGATATAAAGAGGAGCGTGTGCC